TGAATCCCATTGTGAATTTCAGGACCAGAACTCGGGGATGATGATGGCGTGCTAGGATGCTTGAAGGTCTTTACTACTTTGATGAAGTACTTGTTAGTAATAAAAAGCTCAGAGCTTTAATAGTACTAGTTCAATCTCTGTTCGAGAAAAAATAATGCTATGGCACTATAGGCTAGGACATCCTAGTTTTCTTTATCTGAAACATTTATTTCCAGAATTATTTAAAGGGATTGATTGTTCTTCTTTTCATTGTGAAAGTTGCATTTTTGCAAAATTTCATCGCTCTACTTATTTGCCAAAACCTTACCAGGCTTCCAAACCTTTTTATTTGATTCATAGTGATGTTTGGGGCCCTTCTAAAATCACTACTCTTTCTAGTAAAAGATGGTTTGTTACATTTATTGATGACCATAAAAAAAAGGGATTTTTCATCAATCTACATGTCGGGATACCCCTCAACAAAATGGCATTGCAGAACGAAAAAATAAACATCTACTTGAAGTAGCACGTGCTATAATGTTTTACATGCATGTTCCTAAATATTTATGGGGTGAAGCAATTGATAGTGGTAATATATAATATGTAAGTGGCATATAATGGGTTATAATGATGTTTGTAATATCTCCTATATAAGGAGTGTCATTTGGTCTTGTAAGATAAGAAGTTTTGAATATAACAGAAATATATTCCTTCTTCCTCATATTTTCGGAGTTCTTCTTCCTCATATTTTCTAAGTTTTAATGCAAGTTAAGGAACATTTTGAACAAAATTCAGTTTCAAGCAGGTAGTATGCTAAAACCCCCATTTGAATGAGAACAATCAACTCGGCCATGCAACTACAATAAATCATTTCAAGAAACAGTCAACTCATAAAATGAAGCTAAATAATAATAGAGATTAAATGTACATCAAGAGCTGAAATTGGCACTGGTCATACACGTGTATGGAAAAAATAAAAAAAAAAAAAAGCATTGAAACTCGTAGATACACATAATTCACACAGTAAACTTCTTCTGCTTTGTGCAAAACCCTTTCAAGGGAGGGAAAAAAAAAAGAAGAAGCTAAATGCTTCCACAGTGCATGCCAGCTCTTTTGCAGACATTTCATGTCCCCTTCAACATATTATCACCATAAATTACTAGTCTTTAATTTCCATTAAAACATCAGTATGTAGTTTCAGCATAGAACACAAACAGGAAAAGAGGGCGCTAAGACTAGAAATCCAATGAGGTAACAATGTAAAGATTACTTGGTAGAATGAAATATAAAAATACAACTACAATAAATGGTGTGGGCAAGAAAGAGAAGGCAAGGAATATTTTCCGAGACCAAAAGGTAACACATAAAAGTAAAAAAAGTTCATTTTAGGTCACTCGGCAATCCACCAGATATTTCACGCAATGTTTTTAAGCTACTATTTGGTCACTCACCAGTCGACCAGATATTTCACGCAATGCTTCTGCCCAACGTGATGTTGAATCTGCCATCATGCTAACATTGTAGCCCATATCCCTGAAGTATTCAGCTATGGTGATTCCTGGAAAATTCACATCCACGTAGATAGAATGATTATGGCTCAATGCATGCAGGACAATTTAATTCATTGTCCAAGGAAAGGAAACTCATATAACTCAAAAAGGTTTTTTAAGCAAAAATTTTTTGAAGAAAATGAGGCACCATGGGAGTGCACAGCCTGTATAAAAAAGACCCATCTGTTGTACATCAAAAACCTATTGAAAGGCCTCTACAGAATCCAAAAACTGGCTCAAGGACGTATTACATCCTTGCACATTTCTATAAGTAAGAAACGAGGCACGCTCGGTTCCATTTGGGTTGGACAAAGGGTAGAGGAACAAAGCAACATGTCATCTAAGAAGCATGGATATGAACACGGCACACGGATACAACATAACATGGATAAGCTGACACTACAAGTTTCAAAAAATCAGGACACAACATGGCAACAAATAAATATATATTATCATTATATACATTAAAATAATACTAATAATCTCTTTATTTTGACACTATAAATGCATTCATATTTCATTATATGAAAATGGTAAGAAATCTTTTTTCCAGGAGTCCTAATATCTATTTTTAAAATCTTTGTTCACTAACAAATTGGAGCTTTCAGGCTTTAGAGTTCACAAAATCCAAAAGCTATAAAGAGGAGAGATTAACAAGTATAGACTCGCATTGTTTTGATTTTATCATTGACTCCCTAGTTATTTTCTTCAAAGTTGCAATTTGTTTTATCTTTTGTGTTTCTACTAGTTGGATACTTGTGCCCCCCAAGTGTCTGAAGTGTTTCCAGTTAATTTTTTTTTTTTTTAAATAATAGAACATGTTAGGGCACGTGTCCGATAAGTGTCAGTATATGACACAGGCACACCATCTTAGAAATGTTAGTGCTTCTTAGACATTGTTTCTTGTTCTCCAGCAGGCTGCAATACGAAGGGGCGCTTAAAACAATGCATTTTCATTTGTACATCAAGAAAGCTGAAGAGAAGTTCTCTATGGCCTTCAATTTCATTCAGTGCACATCTTGAGAGATTATACACATTGGAATCACGAGTATGAAAAATTACCTTTATACAAGGGAAATAGCATATAAAATATAAACAATACCAACAATCAGTTATCAATTCAAATTGAGAATGATTCACTCCTAAAAAATATGCTTTACCTTGACATTAGGCATGTAAACAATATTAAGCAAGAGTACATATAATCACCTGTATATATTGAAGCCTCACGAGCTGCCACAGGCATGTTTGAAGTGTTTGCCACAAGTGTGGTACGTTTCATAACAGATTCCTCACGGCCATCAGGCAGTGTCATTGTCAGTTGAGGAAAATCCATAAGAACCTAAATAATTAGGTAATCTAGATTAAACATCTCCAATATAATCAATTTGTTAAAATGACCAAACAAGAAAACACAACCATGTACCTCTGCCATTTCATTTCCTCTTTCTCCACAACCAACATAAACGACAGTGTCGGAATTAGAATACTGCATACAAATATATCAACACAAACTGAATGATCCAACATTTCATGACTAGTGATGAGTTTCATCACCTAACTTTCCAAAGGATGATCATTTATAAGGAAAAAATACCTTGGAAAGAGCTTGACTAATGACTGTTTTTCCACAGCCAAATGCACCAGGTATGGCACATGTCCCACCAAGAACCGAGGGGAAAAGGGCATCAAGAACACGCTGATATGAATAAAGCCATTAGGTACAGAAAATTTTCAAGCTATATAGGTCACAAATAAAAACCAATAAGATCAGGCAACACAATTTCTATCTATGCTGGTTACCTGCCCAGTAAGAAGAGGAGTATCAGCAGCAAGCTTTGACGCAACAGGCCTAGGAGTTCGCACAGGCCAAGTCTGCAAACACGAAGGCATAACCACCGTAAGATAAAGTTGTTTATATTGGAATAAAATAATTTAACGTGCATTGAACTCCAAAAGTAAAACGAAAAACCTGAAGCATAGTAATTTGCTTTTTGACACCTTGAAACTCAAGCTCTAATACAGTGTCCTGCACATACATAGAGTAAGTCAATGCAAGTGCTCTACTGGAAGAGTAGCCGTTGCATGGCTTTATATCAATCTTAACATATACCGAGGATAACATTTTCAAATAACATATTAGAATGAGAAATGTTACACAAGCTGGTGTTCATTAATAAACCCTCCCTCCTAAATCTATTGACCAGTGAATTGTGTTTGGCATTCATAAACCCTCCTACCTAAATCTATTGACTAGCTAGAACAAACAACACATGATCATGCTAACCCAAAAATATTATTGGGCAAAATAGCAGAATTTCTATACCAATTAGTTCGATGAATATCAGCAGTGTGTTTTACTCACTTGTAGAATCGAGGTGATAGTAAGTGATTTTTACGAGACAATATGTATCACCACTAGCATGTCAAAGTTAGAGATTGACCCAAATATTACTTTAAATGTGTCACGACACGACAATGGGGGGAAAATGTGCCTAAGACGAACACCATATATATTTAAGTCAAAATTGTCCAGGTGCATGGCAAATGCAAATAAAACATAGTTCAAAAGATTACTGACTTGACCTTAAGGATGTCATACAAAGAATAGCCAACGCTGAATGACAAAAACAAAAAAATAAATTAGACAAACCTTCAATGAATATTGACCAGCTGGTGCAATGTAGGTTATCTTTCCCATAGAATCAGGAGGAAGTGCAACATGGTGCTGCACTAAACTGTTCTCAAAGACAGTCTGCATAATGATTTAACCATGGCAACCTTAGATGAAGAACAACAAAATAAAAATGCCAGACGCATATGGCAACAGAATTTTACAGAAAGGACTTTTAAACTTCTGTAAACTAAGTTGAGTATTGTTAAACTTACAGCATATAAGTCTCCCCCTGTTACAAGATCTCCCTCACCTGCCACCAACAGATGACGTTAAACTATGAAGCATCAAATCTTTCTAGCTCTCTAATGTAAACAAAAGCCATAACAATTGTCTCTGAACGACTAAAGTAAAATGCTCTTTGATTACCTATTTTCTTAGGCTGGAATTCCCAAAGGGTGTCCTTGTCAAGGGCCGGGACAGAGACACCACGAGGGATATACACATCACCAGATCGCTTTGCGATGGTCTTTAGAGGCCTCTGCATTATTTTTAAACAATAAATGGATTGTCAGTGGGTAAATGTCTTCCTTAAGCCAGGCTAATAATAAAAGACCCAGTTGCAAGACAACATTCAAGTTGGGCAATATGAAGAAGCATATATTTCACAAACCTGAATGCCATCAAATATATTCCCCAAGATTCCAGGACCCAACTCCACCGACAGAGGCTGTAATGTCAATGGACAAGTTAAATGTTAGTGCATTTAATGTTTGATCTATAACAACTCCAAAATTCTAACAATAATATTGTATAAAACATAACAAGATTACCTTGTGTGTTCGTAAAACAGGATCATTGACCGTCAACCCAGCTGTTTCTTCATACACTGAGATGATATATAGACAACAAATTATTGTCAATATTAAGCTGTTTTAGTTTCACCATGTACAAGATGATAACTATAGCTACAAGAAACTTGGTGCAAAGGGAGAGCGACAGTAAGGAAGGGGACACATTAAATCAAGAAAGATGATGATGTGCATTAAAAACCAACAGGGCTCAATTAAGGCCTAGGTTAAAAAGCTCTTAACAATATTTGTAGAATTTATATACATATGTATAACCTATCATTAATAAGCATCAAGGGATGCAACTTGTACACATTCACAAGTAAAATATATATATATATATAAAGAGGAGTTGTAGAATGAATTACCACCCTACATTTTCTATAATCAATATTTTGAGGACATATCTAAAATGATTACCTTGGATTGTTGCAGAATCTCCTTCCAGACGAATAATTTCCCCAATAAGTTTGTCGTGTCCAACACGTACCAATTCATACATAGCAGCCCCTGCCATTCCATCTGCAACAACGACTGGTCCTGATACCTGTTCAGTGAGAAACTAAAATGTTAATATAGTTGGAGAAAACATAAAAATATTTAGAATCGGTTACATCAAATTGGCATATTTGAAATAAAAAATTAATTAATTAATTAAAAAAAATTATTAGCAGAAATAAGTTCATTGGAACAAAATCAAAGAACAAGTTCATTAAAATATTGAAAGGCCTTACTATAATCAAAGCTATTTGTTGGTTTTATACCGTAGGCTACTTGAATCATCTTGTCCTAGATGTATCATTACACATTTCTACTAACATATGCGTTTTTGCCTCGAAAAAAATAAAATCATCAAGTCAATTTCATGGTTTCAGAATCTAAAATAACCAGAATCAATGAAAAAAAAAGAAAGTAACTAGTGAAAATCTATGTAAGCAACTTAGAAACATGAACAAATATCTGAAGTAAATCCATAATATTATTTTTAATATCCTATACAAAAATGTCAAAATAACCTAGAAGAATGATCAATCTATTGTATATAACTCAAAAAGGATTAGCTCCAGTTCCCCATTCAGTCAACTGATAAGGAATAAGCTAATTAGAAAACAGGGGAATAAACTATTACACTACAAGCAGTGCAGCATCGTGCCTGCAAGTTGAGTTGAATTGGAGACCCTAATCAGATCTTAAGAATAAGAATACTACTGCAAATCATGAATCTTAACTAATATTTATACAAATATAACTGACTGAATCAATCAAAATTATCTCAATAAAATTAACGTATATATTCAAAGTAAGCAAATAAAACCTTGAATAAAATTAAACAGGATAAACAAGGTGAACAAAAAATTGAGTAAGCACGTAGATCAGGAAAAAATGGATCAAATAATAGACATTGAAAGGGAAAAGAAAGAGAGAGAGAGATCGAAGAAAGAGGGAGACCTTTCGAACGTAACCGTACTCGCTTTCCTTCTCTGAATCTTCGAAAGTTGTCAATCGAGCTCCGTATACGGACGGCATTCTGTGAGACGGATCAGAGGAGAAACCGAAATCAAAAATCTAAACTTCAATTGTGTAGATCAGATCGTCAAGGAAACACAAGGTTTCCAATGGAATCCTATATATAGAGAGGGTTTGGCGATTACAGATGCGAAGAACCAAAAACAAGAAGAAGAAGAAGAAGAAGAAGAGATGAGAACGTGAATTATGAGTACAATTACAGAGAGATATAGAGGGAGCAGAGAGAGGGGCTTTCCTACTTGTGATATGGAAGGGGAGAGAGTAATCTGACGCTGCGCATACACATCAGGTTTCAAGGTGTGTCCATTTATACGTAGCCGCGTCATTCATCAGTTGGCAAGTGTAAGCCTGAGTAAGGAATCGGTAAAATCTATAACCCGATTCAGTCTAATCCAATCTAATAGGTTTTGATTGATTTTTTGAATCCGTTGTTCAGTTTTAGATTGAAAAATTAAAAATTCGTACTTCACGAATTGGTTTTGGATTGAACCCCACGGTTTCGGATTGGAACCGATCCAGACCGTATATAAATCTATTTTTATTACACACTCTTCTGTATAATATCTTCTCTTATTTCATATAAAATTTAAATCCAAACCTAAACTTGCATAGTATCTTCTTTTATTACTTTTGTTTGGTAGTTTTTAGTGTTAATTTGTAATGGTCTAAATACTTATGGTGGAACTAGTTTTTCTTATGATTATTTAAATTCTAGAACAATTTGTCGCTATTATGAAAAGACATGTTGCTATTTTGAAACTAATATGGTGTTATATTTATATTTTTATGAAATTAAAGTGCTATATATATTTTTTTGTTATTTAATTATGTAAATCTGTAATCCTAAACCGATCTAATCTGTGTTTAAATGGATTGATTCTGTCACGACCCAAACCCGCCCTTATAGGTTTAGCATCGTAACCGGCCAGTAATCCTTGGACTACCAAAGGCCTCTGAACAGATAAACAAAATTAAAAGACTAGCTGAAGCAAATACATAAATATAGTTGTCCAATAAGCTGTGCTGACTTATATGAAACGGAATATTTAAAAACTTTATATACAATAACCGGTAGTCAACCATACATTATACCCACACACATTACAGTATTTTAAGTACAGCCAACGACATCAAATCAAGCCTTAAATAAACAGAAATCACAGAACTTAAACTCAAGACGCTTCGGGAACCTCCGCGCGAGGCACAATGGTTGGTTGACAACAGAACACAGGTCCAGACAAAAAGCCTTCAGGCTCGGGCTCTAGAAGGCTCACCTATACATATATATACACATAATGAGCTAAAGCCCAATGAATAACATTAAGGTAAAGGGTTTAATGAACGAAATCCAAATATATCAAAAGCAGAAAACAGACCAGAACATAATCATTCTCATATCAGAACATAATAATGGTACATCCCATAGAACACATCACATAACGTGTTCCGACTAGAGTAATCGGTTCCGGATACCGATTAAACACATATCACCATAATGAAGTGGCTAACGAGATCCCGTAATTACTTGTATGCCATGGACCCGCATTTTCATGCCGTCCCTCGTGACTTGGGACTATCTATGGATGCCATAATATATTTCAAACTTTGAATATTCGTTCACGAAAGCATATATCATTTCAGAAATCAGAACTTATCATATTTCATTTGGAACGTAATTCATATGAACGTATCTTTACAATAACGTTACTCACAGTGGTTCCAGCAATGGTCAATCAATCCTCGAGTCTTGACCTACAATCACAAAATACATAACACAAGCACATCTAATCATTACACATTCACGTGGCCAACACGGCTTAGCTTTCATTACAATAGCTCATATTATTTCTTATCACATTGCCTAAAACACACACACTTGCTGTCTCGGAACTTAGTACATTCTTTTCTTAGTGTGTTTATAATCCATAACCTCATTACTGTGGCTTAATTAAGGCTTAGGAATGCCTAAATTGTAATGAGGATGCCAAAACATGCCTTGAAACACTTAGTCAAAATTTCTGAAAATTAGGTACATGCTCGAGCGTAGCTTTCCTCGCTCGAGCGGACATGCAAAATGTGAATGGTCGCTCGAGTACACATTCCTTCACTCGAGCGATCTATAAAAGACATGAAACTTCTGGGAGCTTGCAATTCACGCTCAAGCGGACTTTTGATCGCTCGAGCGGAGTGCACGCACTCAGATTGGTCGCTCGAGCGTGAACTCCAAAGCTCGAGCGTAGATGCAAAATCTAGAATTTCCAGATTGCACCTCCAAGCTCAAAACTCGAATTCAACTCATCAAAACACATCTCTTGGCCCCCAAAACTTGAGATAACATAGTAAACTTGTAAAACCTGAAGAATTTAGGATCATTTCATAAAATCATGGCCCAAAAGTTTGTTAAAAACTCACAATTTCAACTTAAAACATGATGGATGTTCATGAACACAACATGCATGAATTTTTCTTGTATCAAACTTCTCAAAACATGATCAAACACTACAAAACAACTTGAAACTTGGTGATTTCCCCAAATAAAGATGAATTTCAAACATACAAGAGAAGATTTATGAAAATATGCTCAATTGTAAGAAAATGTAAATGTATGCATGAATTGCAACTCAAATCTTCCTTCTAAGCTCAATACACACCCTTAAACACATAATCTTGAAGAAATTTCATGTTAAATGACTTAGTTACACAATCTAGAGGTTGTAATCTTACCTAGAGTCTTGAATTACTCTTATTCTAGCACAATCTTGGTGAATTCAACACAAAACCTTCAATTATTCTTCAATCTCTTCATTTCTCTCTCTAGAATTGTGCTCCCTCTCTCTCTAAAATGTTTCACCAGATTTTTCCATTAAAGGGATAAAAGAAAATGAGCTCAAAATGAGCTTATGTCTCATATATATGTTTATGGTGCTAAAACACATTAATTAGAATATTAGGCTAACCAATTATGGCTTAATTAATCAGACTGAATCAATTTTTAATAAAATTTGCCATATAGTTCTAAAAATTTCAAATAACATATCAGTACAGTCAATTTCGGTTTCGGATGCCGATAAGGCTTTCAATTTACATCTTAAAGTGAAATTCCAAACAGATATTTCTATAAGTAACAGATAGGAAGCCAAAATCACACAAGGTGCAGAATAAACACATAATTTATTTTAATCCACTCAGTAACATCATTAAATACGGATTAGTGACTAATTACGGATAGGGGTTGTTACAGATTCAGATTGGTTCAACGATTTAAACGGACTAGATTGGTTACAATTTTTCAGGAACCGTAGATAACGGATTGGTCATGGTTTTACTCAAATCCGGACCATGCACACCCCTAGGCAAGTGAATTAAAAAATAAATGATAAATTATAAATACACCCATAAGATTTACTTAAAATACAAATTATTTTATGTGATTTAGAAAATTATAAATATTTTCCTGTCATAATTTTTTACTTAACAGAATTAGTTGAAAAAATGAAATTTCTAACTGTTCACTTATACAATAATAAAATTATCTAAATTATTAATTGAAACAAAATTTTAATATTATTAAAAACTATTAATTAACTTGATGATTTATTAATAAAAGAACCTATTTGTCATGAAATTAGAAATCTTAATGGGCATAATGTAATTTCTAAAATTACATAGGTAATTTGTAATTTAAGTAAATCTCAAAGAATGTATTTGTAATTTATTCAAAAATAAACTCCATAAGTCAAAAAAAACTTATTTTGAGAAGTGATTTTTTTTACTAATTATGAAAAAATATTTTTAAAATAGGAAGGTAATTTGATCATAATAAACCAATAAACTACTAGCAACTTTTTTTTTTCTATCTTTTGAAAAGAAATCAAAATTAATATTTAAATTACAATTATTTCATTTTTTCTCTAAAAAAAAAAAAAGTTAAACAAAATATGAAAAACAACCTTCCAAATCAAATTAATTTAACCAAATACTCACACTAAAAAATTCTTCCCAAACAATACTTTAATCACCATTTGTCTGCGGCCATTCTTTTATTTATTTATTTTTAGTTTAATCGCCATTATTTTTTTGTTTTAATTTTTTGTGACCAAAAAATAATATAGGAATATTGTATGAGCTTAATTTTATTGTTAGCAGTGTTTTATTTATTTTTATTTTTTTGATTTATTTATTTGATAAAGTTATCTATTTTTTTTCTAATTAATTCATATTTAAGTAGTCAACATGCTTTAATTTTTTTATTTTTATAAAATTGTCAATAAATCTAAGTTGGTAGATTCATTAACACATTAGATTCAATGATTAATCTTATTTTGTAAGAAAGACAAACGTTGAAAAGTCGTCAGCATAGGCGACAATAGTAGCCAACGACAGCAGTTGATGGTGGGCCAAATAGTTGATACGTGTATAAATAATAATGACATATTTAAATAAATAATTACACAGATAAATGGCATAGATACGAATAGTGAGATATTTGAATATATAGATATATAAATAAGTTTTAAACATATAAATGTATTTTTAGTAAGAGCCGGTGGAGTCATAGCGGATATCTAACTTTAATATATAAGATTTAAATCGAAATTAAAGTAAAACGGCCTAATTCTCATATTGGCAGCCAGGCTAAGCAAACCATTAATCTAGTTGCACGTCAAATGCATAACCGCATTGGTTGAGTCTTACTGACTTCAGGTAGAACCACCGAACAATAGCTCAACAGATGTGTCGAGTTAAATTCGTTGATAGGTCTCTCTGTTAGCTTCTTCATTTTGATCAAAAAATAGCTAGGTGATTCAATTTAGTCATGTTACGGGCCAATTTTACCCAGTCAATACATATCACTTGTCCGGTTGAATTTCATATTTCAATCAAACCTTCGAGGTAGCTGGTCTTCAAGTTAGTTCAAAACTAAGACTCATACTTATTTAGTCTGTCCGTTAATTCGGCACAATTACCATTTCTATTTTAATATTTTTAATGACTTTTTGAGATATTATTATGTCATTGTGTACACTTGAGCAAGAAAACTGGAATATGAAAAGTATGGGTTGTTTTGAATGTCATAAATAAGTGTATTTTTTTAACTTTTTTGACTAAAAAATTAAGAAAAAAATTATTGTTTGGGATAATTTTTTGGTTTTTTACGAAAAAATGTGTATTAAAAATTTGTATAAATTAATGTATAGGATAAATTTTTGGGGGAGTAAGCAGTATGGTGGGCAGTGCGGTGACAGTAGTGTGCAGAGTAGTGTATAAGAGATGTTTG